GAGTGGGACGGAGTAGTCTAGCGGTAGGGAGCTGGACTGCTATCCCGGACTGCTAACCCGTAAGTCTCGAGTTCGAATCCGGGTGCCAGTCTGTAGACCTCCCCTGAGTCCACCCAACTGATGGGTACCTAACTCACGTTAGGGAAAGTAAAGGCATAGTGCTGACCACGCTATCTCTTCATATGCCGAGGTCACAGAAACAAGTTAACTCCAATATGTTACTCCAATAAATCAACGCAATTTCGTTCTTGTCATTCCTTAACGTTGTTTTCTTTTGACTGGAATATGGCAATGACCGTGGATGGAGCTATACTATACTGGCTGTTAATCTGTTAATCTGAAGACCGAAGATAAAAAATAATATTATTATTAATTGTTTCGGGACTTTTAATCTTTAATTTCATGCTTAGCAAAAATCCGGTATAGCAATGTAAACAGATTTAGAGTGAGAGAAATAGCTATTACTGTGTAAATCTACAACATGAATCACATGTTGTAATATTCTAGCTGCTAGCGCAGGGGTCGGCAACCTTTTGAGTCGGAAGAGCCAAAAGTTACAATTTTCAAAATTTCCCAGTTTTTAAAGAGCCACTAACAATTGTTTTTTAATATTTTATTATTTTATTAGGATTAGTTAAATACATTTTATTTGTTATTTAAAATAAATATCTTTAAATATGAAATAATATTTATTGATATAAAAATACACCTGTTTAGCCTTAACAATAAACTTCTTAATCCAATAATATAACTATAGCACTATCCCAATCCACTTTAGAAGCTGTTAACATTTATTTTTCTTTATTTACGGATATCACCGGCTCAGAAGATGTCTCCCATTAGCCAGGCAAGCTCCGACTAACTGGCTTAGATATCGGTTTGATTACCGTGTATCTGTCGCTTCTGTCCTTTGATTCTCACCAGGCTTGTCTTCCCCACCCCCCCACCCCCCCCCACACACACACACCCACTGAACGCAGGGTAAACTCGTACACCACCGTCCAGTAGGCATACCCGACTCGACCGTAGGAGGCTAATTACTAAACAAAAAACTACGTCATTTGGGTCAAATTAATAATTACTGACAGATAGGGAAATGCATTCTGAATAAAGTAACATTCCCCATTTAACAATATTCTTAAAGGTCGGCACTTGGGCGGTGGCAAGCATGGAATTGTTGCCACGGGGCTGTCCACAGCACGGCCGTGGGCCTGGTACTCAAGCGGCTGTCAGCTTCTACTGTTCCTATTCTCACTGTTCTCTGATGAGTGTTTTTACCCTGTTTAAAGTTGAGTTTCTTCACAGTACAATATTTGTTCCGAGTTTTCATAAACCGGGAGTGATCTCCCCTAAACTTTCTCGAATATTCTAATATAAAATTACGAGGGATGGCAACTCAGGACATAGACAATATTTGTTATCCATTTTTAATTACTTAAACTTTTTATAAGAGAATAGAATCTCGTAAAAAAAAAGAATTGCACACGAAGTGAAAAGTTTCCCTTTTAAACCTAACGGTCTACGGGGCAAGTGAGGTATAGTTGACTTGTTTCTGTGACATCGGCATATGAAGAGATAGTGTGGTCAGCACTATGCCCAGCCGCCTTTACTTTCCTAACAGGAGTTAGGTACCCATCAGAGTTGGGTGAACTCAGGGACGGTCTACTGACTTGAACTCGGATTCGAACTCGAGACTAACGGGCTAACAGTCCAGCTCTCTACCGCTAGACCACTCCGTCCCACACCAAGTGAACGCCTAATAAAATGTGTATAAAAGTGCGGGATATTATTAGTACTTTATAAATTTACATGCGTTTTTTGAGAAATCGGAAATAGCGTAAATTAGTACTTCCGGTCAACGGAAATTACTCAAAATTTGACAGAAGGTAGAGAATTAGATCATTTACTTACGTGTGAAATTTCATGCATCTATCTAAAATAGTACGCAACTTATAGGCTTTTGAAAAAATCAAAGTAGAAAAAGTACCACTTCCGGTTATCGGAAATCGCTCAAAAGTTGACCAGAATCTACGATTTTGATAAAATACTTATATATGAAATTTCATCAACCTAGCTGTAACGGTACTCAAGTTATCGTGTTTACACACAGACATACGGACAGAATTGCAAAGTCCAGTTTTTACGACTCGATAACGCATAAAACGCCAAAACGTTTATATATTTGTATTTATAATTTTTGCCTGATTAAAATAAGCCCTCTATACTCCGGGTGTGATGAAGGACTGAGGAGTAAAACGGTGAAAACTGTCAAAATTTCATGTTATTTTTGTGCACGATTACAATACTTTCTCTATACATCGTATATATGAGAAAGTAAAAATGAAATAATATAATCTATATCTATATATATAATTCTCTTCTTCGAGCCGTTAGAAAACAAGCTGCAAACGCTCTCCCTACCTCCCCACCCCTACATGGTTTTAGTGAGCTGTGTTCACTCTAAATGTTTACAAGCAGAGCCAACGATTTTAAACGTAGGGGGGGGGGGGGGGAGGAGGGGGGGAGGGAAGGAAGGGGGGGGGGTTATGGTCCTTTACGAGCTACTTATAGTGTTTTAAAGAAATATTTTCAGTGTCAGCGTTGGTACTGTCGAATTCACAAATTATGAATTATTGAAAATTAGAAACAACTAAATAGCGGCGTATGTTATGCCGCGGGCCGGCTCGTATATATATAATTCTCCTCTTCGAGTCGTTAGAAAACAAGCTGCAAACGCTCTCCCTACCTCCCCACCCCTACATGGTTTTAGTGAGCTGTGTTCACTCTAAATGTTTACAAGCAGAGCCAACGATTTTAAACGTAGGGGGGGGGGGGGAGGGGGGGGGAAGGAAGGGGGGGGGGTTATGGTCCTTAACGAGCTACTTATAGTGTTTTAAAGAAATATTTTCAGTGTCAGCGTTGGTACTGTCGAATTCACAAATTATGAATTATTGAAAATTAGAAACAACTAAATAGCGGCGTATGTTATGCCACGGGCCGGCTCGTTATTAATAATTGTGCAAAGAGCTGGAGAGCCGCATCTTGCCATCAAAGGAGCCGCATGCAGCTCGCGAGCCGCAGGTTACCGACCCATGTGCTAGCGGATTACTTGGGAACAAGAATTTAAAATGAATAGAACGTTAGCTGCTCGAATACTACCATCATCAACGATAACATATTCATCTAGACTATAAATATATAAATATGAAAGTCGGTTATTATTTGTAGGTATATATTACAATAGAAAATAAATTTTTAAATTAATAAAGTTGGCATTATACGACATTATTTATTATAAAACATATTATACGTTTAAAAATTTAATTGTTTGATTAATTAAACTTTCTTTTTTCGTCAGATTTAGATGCATGTTGTAGCAATAGATTAAATATGCTTTGTCATCTCCCCTTAGTATGTTTTAAACTACTCAAGGCCTATACTAATTCGAAAAGAGAAAAAAAAAACAATATTAAATTACAAACACACGCTTAAAATACAACATTAACACACAAAAAACAATAACAAACCATTGAACAGTCAAAAACAAAATAATTATTTACAATTTATTTTTATTCATTAAAAATCCAACATTTTCTTCCATGTACGCAAAAAAAACCCAGGGGTAGCCAAGGGAGGTAATTTAAAAGGTTCGAGAGTAGTCTCCCATGTTAAGATTTCATGGTACATTAGCTCTTTATCATCTCGTTGTTTTTCTATTCACACAAAATATTGTTACAGCTTCATTCAAATATCGGCGCTGAAACAATGGGCACACAACTAAATCAAATCGCTAAAAAAATACTGTAATTCAAATAATACAAGGGGAGATAATTGTGATATTATTTTAAAAAAACACACTAAGTGTGGAACTATAACTTAAATATTTAAAACATATTTAAAGTTATCGACATCTATAAATGTAATAGCATTTTCGATCATAATATAACAAGGCACACGTATTCAAAGAAAAAAAACACAAAAATATTTGTTATCTGCGTTCATGTATTAAATATTGCACATATATTCTCCGCATCTATGTTCATCTTCATCGTAGATTAGTGCTGGAATACAAACAGATGGTGCTATCATTGTAACCAGTGTATTTCTTTCAGACTTTGTTCTCCGGGGGAGGGGAGGGAAGGGGCTGCACTTGAAACTTTCCGTAGGGCGGAATACATTTTTTGAAGGTGGGAGGGGAGAGTACTGCTAAATTTATATATCTTCTACATACAATTTCTTTAGGGGTGGTGGGTTGGGGGAGGTGGCGGGGTTGTACACTGACCCCCCCCCCCCTCCCCCCTCCCAAGAGATGCCTGAAAGAAACAGTGGTTGTAACATAAGATCTCTCCAATTGTTGCAATTATATTTTATACCAGAAGAGTTTTGTCTTTTATGCAATGAAAACGACAGTAAAAAAAAAACCATTTCAACATTTTGTTTTAGCAACAAAGTTAACATTTATCCTGCAATAACATTGTAGGATAAATCCAATTTTCCACATTATTTGTAAATATTTAAATTAACTTTTACAATGAAGTAACATATATCGACGTATGTTTTACAGTTTAAAATGTTAATATTGACAAGTAGCCTAGTTCAGTTTTGTTATGTGAACACCATGAGTTTAAAATGTTTTGTCAGTGTTGTGTCAATATTGTGTCAATTTTGTGTCAGTGTTGTACCTTGTCAGTGTCGTGTCAGTATCAGTCACTTTTGTGTCAGTGTTCTATACATGGCAACAATAACTCGATGTTAACAAAGGCACAAGGTTCACACACATGCTCACACACACACATACACACGCTCACACACACATGCATACACATACACACACATACATACACAAACATACACACACATACACACACATACGCTCACATACACGTACACACGGTCGCTCTCTCTCTCTCTCTCTCTCTCACACACACACACACACACACACACACACACACACACACACACACACATATATATATATATATATATATATATATATATATATATATATACTGCCTAATATAAAGGCACGCTTGACTTTTAAACTCTGGCTACATATAAGGCACATTTCTCAATCAATCCCTATCTAAATATTTCGTAGCATACTTGCAATTTAAAAAAAAATCGACATATATTCATACATATTATTATATTATGTTGACCACGCTATATCTTCATATGCCGTGGTGAATGAAACAGGTGAACTCTACTTCACCTGCCCCGCGAAAAGGTTACTTTGCCTACTGCATATAGTGCCAGACTGATAATTGTAAACAAGGCAAGATGTAAGTCTACTGCGCACGTGACATCGTACAACCTCTTAAATGTCAAGATTTTTAACAAGATTGTTGTCAAGTACTGAGTACGAGTACCAGTGCAGCTGACTAGTACAGTCCATATGTACTGAGTACTGAGTACTAAGGTTTAGCTTTAGTGTCCAGCTGTACTGAGTACTCAAATTCAGCACTTCAGAGCTATAACAGAATTCTACTTACAGCAGCCTAGTACTCACTAATAGTACATACTAATAGTACATACTAATAGTACATTCCCTGTAGTATTCTGTACAATTACAAGAGTTGTTCAGTATGGAAGTCAAATCAGTTCTTTACCAATGAGTACTGAGGTTCAGTAGTGACTACTTTTATTCACAAATTCTGAGTACTTTAATAAAGCAGTGCAGAGTACTTTTATTCAGAATTCAAAGTACTTTTATTTAGTACTTCTATCAAGCACTTCTGAGTACTTTTATCAAGCACTTCTGAGAAGTTTTAATAAGCACTTCTAAGTACTTTTATCAAGCACTTCTGAGTACTTTTATCAAGCACTTCTGATGAGTGTTTAATAAGCACCCCTGAGTACTTTTATCAAGCACTTCTGAGAAGTTTTTAATAAGCACTTGTGAGTACTTTTATCAAGCACTTCTGAGTATTTTTATCAAGTACTTCTGAGTACTTTTATCAAGCAGTAGGGCATACTGGATACTAGCGTCAAGCACAAGTTAATTATTTATGTGGTCCAGGTGTTGAGTATTGAGGGGGTCAAGCAGTACTGAGTACTAGAAATCATAATAACTATAAAGTACTGAACACAGACATGAACACGCACACGAAGTACTAAACACCATCATGAACACGTTCACTGCCAACGCTAACAAAGTACTATACATTCGCACTACACAATCATGAACAAGTAGGCGTATGCTTCCAATGTTAACAAAGTACTGTACGAAATACAAGCACGAACTAGTACACGAAGTAGTAAATACAATCATGAACAAGTGTACTGCCAACGCTTGCAAAGTACGACAAACACGCACAAACTAGTACACGGAATCCTAAACACAATCATGACCATTGTTATATAAAGTACTACATACAAGCATCAACAAGTGTATAGGGCTGGTAAGTAGGTCACCAACCAGCTCAATAAAACCTGCATGAGTCGTACAACTGGTTGGTGACCTACTTACCAGCCCTATTGCCCACGCTAATCAGAAACGCCTTTAAACTGCTGTGGAGTTTTCTTGAGGATAGAATGTCCAGCCGGTTTTGGCGGTTTTTGCGCCGACTCCGGGCTCAGATGGGTAGTAGGGCTCCTCCTGGAAGCGACCGCCGGGCTCTTCTTAGCAGGGCTCAGCGACAGCGTGGGCGGGGAGGAACTCCCGTCCTCCATTACCGTTTTTAAATTGCTCATCCCTTTCACCAAGCCCGCGGTCGATCTTTTCGATTTAGAATCGTCGTTTTTTTCCGGGTATTGTCTGCGGAGCGGTTCCGGCGAGGATTCGGACGAGTTCGGGGCCGAGCCGTCGTTGCTGAGGTAATCGTCCTCGTCTTCCTCGTCGTCTTGGGAGTTGGCGAGACGCGCCTTGCGGGCCGTGTCGCTCTCCAGCATGACGCTGATCACCGAGAAGTCCCTGGCGTCACACAGGTCCAGCGGCCGCTCCCCGTCGTTGGTTTTGATGTCTTTGCTGGCGCCTTTGCTCAGGAGGTACCTGGGGTTGAAGGTGAAGACAAATGTAGGCAACAGAGAGGAAGAACACTGGGAACATGGAGGAGAGAGATGAAAGAAGAAGTGCAGGCTACTGGCAAGACCTGGCATGAATTGAAGTGGCTCGCCCAAGACAGAGTGGAGTGTCGGAGATTTGTTGGTGCCATATACTCCACAGGGAGTGATGAGGATTAACAACAACAAAAACAACACAAAAGCTTATATAACATGAACACAATTTCACACAACATACACAAACGCTAATGTAGCATGAAAACAATTTTGCGCAAAATACATAACAGCTAATGTTACATGAACACAATTTTACGCACTATACACAAAAGTTATTGTAACATGAACGAAATTTTACGCAACATACACAAAAGCTAATGTAGCATGAACACAATTTTACGCAATATACACACAAAATTTATTGTAACATGAACGAAATTTTACGCAACATACACAAAAGCTAATGTAGCATGAACACAATTTTACGCAACATACACAAAAGCTAATGTAACATGAACACAATTTTACGTAACATACACAAAAGTCAATGTAACATGAACACAATTTTACGCAACATACACAAAAGCTAATGTAACATGAATACAATTTTACGCAATATACACAAAAGCTACATAAAAATTGAAGTATGACCGTATTATATTATTTTTTTACGACGATGAGAGTCGACTGGAGTGGGATGAAGCAAACAGACAAAAAAACACATGATGTCCTTTGCAGTCGATCCCCGAATCTCCAAGGCAGATGCGAAAAAACAACAACAAACGAGCCTATTTCTGGCCATGTGTCACGTAATTTTACCTGGCTATATCCGCCTCGCCGTTTGCGCATGCGGCGTGGAGTGGCGTCCACGTGTCAACGTCCTTCTTGTTGACGTCGGCGCCATGTTGGATTAGAAGTTTGACCGCCGCCAAGTTGCCCTCCAACACGGCGTTGTGTAGTGGAGTAAGACCTGAGGGTGGGGGAGGTGGGGTTGGGGGAGAGAGCAGAATAAAATATATAAATGTTATATCTATAATTGTATAAATTACCAAATACTTTTTCCCCTACTGTAATTAAAATATTTATTTAAGGTTCGAAATCGTATTTCTTAATCTTATAAGCAATAATAATTCACATTCTGGAAGATAGTGTTTTGATATGTAACATAAAAATATTTTAGATACATTTTTTGTAAAAAATTACATAAAAACAAAACATAATAATTTCTTTATAGAGAAACCTGTTTCCTAATTTTTTTCTTTTTACACACTACAATTTCTTCATTTAAACATTATTTTAGATCTTCAAAAAATTAAAATTGATAGGTAAAGTCTCCGTTGAAAAAAATATTAAAGTAATAGTTCACCTGGTCCAATAATGTAATCATTATGCACAAATGATTACAAGTTTAAATTTATACTTATTTGCATATCATTTCAGCGAAAAAAACTTCGTCATTTTCAATTTTAGAGTGACATCCGATAACCGGAAGTGGTACGTTATTCCTTGTTTTTAATATACCGATAATCTTAGTATGTTTTAATTAGGTAGAAGAAATTTCGTACATAGGAATACGATCTTATTCACAGCTTTCTGACAAATTTTACGCTGTTTACCATTTCTCAAAAATATAATATATATATACATTTATTTAACTTGATTTCCCCGTCTATCGTCCGCTAGAGGCCGAAACTTGCAAGTCAAACTTCCGCTCCATTATACACACATTGTTCACGGCCATTTTGTGCGCAATAATTTTTCTTACTCGATTATATTCTATTAAAAAAAGTATTAAAAATAATCTTTAAAAATAAACAACATCTTTAAGTGTCATCCCATTACTGTTACAGAAGCACATACAAACATTTTTAAGGGAGATCACTCCCGCTTTATCTAAAATGTAGAAACGTTTGATAAAATCGCTATATTGTTATAAACATAATCTCAAAGACGCTGGTAAATGAAGTATTCTTTTACCGCAATTTCAAGGTCGTAGGTAATTTTAGCTTTCTCTAACAAAATGTCAAGGTCGCATGTAAGTTAGGTATTCTGTAAAGCAATGTCAAGGTCAAAGGTAATTTTTACGTTTCAGCAACATAAGCTCAAGGTCACCGGTAAAATTTAGTTTTCCGTAGTTTAAGGTCAAGGTAAAATCAAGATCACGGGTAATTTTGGTTTTCTTTCTTTACCCCAATGTCAAGGTCACCGGAAGGAAAAAAATTTCCGTTCATGTGGAGGTTCCTGAGATGGAAGCTGTAATTATACAGCCCGTAATCACCTTGAGAACTGTAATTAGCTTAACCGTAATAACATTATGTGTAATTAAGTTGTGTAATTAAGTTCAGTGTAATTATTTTAAATGTAATTGTACAAGATTGTTAACCGCAAGGAAGCTAAATTCGCTCTAATTACTGCTTGCAGGTTCAAGTGTGTCTGTAGATACAGGTGTGTCTGTAGATACAGGTGTGTCTGTAGATACAGGTGTGTCTGTAGATACAGGTGTGTCTGTAGATACAAGTGTGTCTGTAGGTACAGGTGTGTCTGTAGATACAGGTGTGTGTAGGTACAGGTGTGTCTGTAGATACAGGTGTGTCTGTAGATACAGGTGTCAGGATAGAGGTGTGTCTGTAGATACAGGTGTGTCTGTAGGTACAGGTGTGTCTGTAGATACAGGTGTGTGTAGGTACAGGTGTGTCTGTAGATACAGGTGTGTCTGTAGATATAGGTGTCAGGATATAGGTGTGTCTGTAGATACAGGTGTGTCTGTAGATACAGGTGTCAGGATAGAGGTGTGTCTGTAGATACAGGTGTCTGTAGATACAGGTGTGTCTGTAGATACAGGTGTGTCTGTAGATACAGGTGTGTGTAGGTACAGGTGTGTCTGTAGATACAGGTGTGTCTGTAGATATAGGTGTCAGGATAGAGGTGTGTCTGTAGATACAGGTGTGTCTGTAGATACAGGTGTGTCTGTAGATACAGGTGTGTCTGTAGATACAGGTTGATCTGTAGATACAGGTGTGTCTGTAGATACAGGTGTGTCTAGATACAGGTGTCTGTAGATACAGGTGTGTCTATAGATACAGGTGTCTAGATACAGGTGTGTCTGTAGATACATGTGTGTCTGTAGATACAGGTGTGTCTGTAGATACAGGTTGATCTGTAGATACAGGTGTGTCTGTAGATACAGATGTGTCTGTAGATTCAGGTGTGTATAACGATGTGTGTGTGTGTGTGTGTGTGTGTGATATTAGTGAACGGTACACTTAGCGCGTTTTCAGATGCTTGCTATCCATCCAAGCCATTTAATGCAAAAGGTGAATTATGTCATGCCATTCAAAGATGACATCCCTTCCATAAGTCATACACTCAAGCTATACCTGCAAGCTATACCTGCAAGCTATACCTGCAAGCTATACCTGCAAAGCTATACCTGCAAGCTATACCTACAAGCTATACCTACAAGCTATACCTGCAAGCTATACCTGCAAGCTATACCTACAAGCTATACCTACAAGCTATACCTACAAGCTATACATGCAAGCTATACCTGCAAGGTATACCTGCAAGCTATACCTGCAAGCTATACCTGTAAGCTATACCTGCAAGCTATACCTGTAAGCTATGCCTGCAAGCTATACCTGCAAGATATACCTGCAAGCCAAACCTGTAAGCTGTACCTGTAAGCCATACCTGTAAGCTATACCTGTAAGCTATACCTGCAAGCTATACCTGTAAGCTATACCTGCAAGCTATACCTGCAAGCTATACCTGCAAGCCAAACCTGTAAGCTATACCTGCATGCCATACTTAAAAGACATACATGCGATAGAAGGTCATTGACCTTCGATTACTGGCTCCATATGGGCGACAATTCCGGCAGGTAAGAACAAACCAAGGACAAAGTCAGTGGAACATTCCAGAGAGTCCCAAACTAAATGATGTAACACTTGAGCACATGAGCTATGCACTCCCCTCTACACCCCTACCCCCCCCCCCCCCCCATCTGGTTCCTATCACTAAAGGGACGACACCAGATTGAATATCGGTTACTTTTTGCTTACATGGGTTTTTTTTTCTTTACATTAGTAATTATCGATTACTTATGGCTTACATTTACGGTGCTAATTTTCAGTCACTTCAGTGATATGGTGATGATGGATTATTTATGCCTTATATTTACATTTCGAATTGATCAATTACTTCTAATTTATATTGGTTTTTTTTTCACTTCTTATATTTCCAGTGACAGTTATCGTATTCTTCTTACTTATATTTACATAATTAGCTTATCCATTACTTTCTACTTATATTAATACTTTTTTTCTACAGTTGCATGTCATAATTCTTTAACCGGTATTGGAAATGCTTTTATGGCCGGTTAGGGTTAGGGTTAGTGTTCAGGTAAAGGTTTGGTTGGGTTTTAGAGTATGTTAGAGACGGGTCTATATATATAACAATATGTCAATTTGTTCAAGCGCAGTGTTTTGGGTACGGCTAATCTATCTCTACCAGTTAGACCCACCCCCTCCCATGACTGTGTCTTGTTTAACCTGGTCCAACGACCACCAGCCAGTAACAGGGAACAGCAGCCCTAAGAGCACAGACCCCCCCCCCCCCGCCCCCCATGTTTATTGCTTCTAGCAATTATCGGCAGTGGGAGACTTGGCGTGTTTTTGTAAGCATGGGGGGGGGGGGAATCACTAATTAGCCACCTCTGTTGGTCCGCATTTCGGAGACTGAGGGGGTAGGGGGGCGGAGGAGAGGAGGGGGAGGTATGGTTGAAAGGGTGTGTGGGTATAGGTGTAGTGTGGGTGGTGTGGGTGTAGGTGTAAGTGTAGGTGGTTTGGAGTGTGGGTGGTGTAGGTGTAGGTGGTGTGGAGTGTGGTGTGGTGTGGGTGTAGGTGTAAGTGTAGGTGGTGTGGTGTGGAGTGTGGGTGGTGTGGGTGTAGGTGGTGTGGTGTGGAGTGTGGGTGGTGTGGGTGTAGGTGGTGTGGTGTGGAGTGTGGGTGGTGTGGGTGGGTGGTGTGGGTGTAGGTGCAGGTGGTGTGGGTGTAGGTGGTGTGGTGTGGAGTGTGGGTGGTGTGGGTGTAGGTGGTGTGGTGTGGAGTGTGGGTGGTGTGGGTGTAGGTGGTGTGGTGTGGTGTGGATTGTGGAAGGTGTGGGTGTAGGTGGTGTGGTGTGGAGTATGGGTGGTGTGGGTGTAGGTGGTGTGGTGTGGAGTGTGGGTGGTGTGGGTGTAGGTGCAGGTGGTGTGGAGTGTGGGTGGTGTGGGTGTAGGTGGTGTGGTGTGGAGTGTGGGTGGTGGGGAGTGTGGGTGTAGGTGTAGGTGTAGGTGATGTGGAGTGTGGGTGGTGTGGGTGTAGGTGGTGTGGTGTGGAGTGTGGGTGGTGTGGGTGTAGGTGCAGGTGGTGTGGTGTGGAGTGTGGGTGGTGTGGGTGTAGGTGTAGGTGGTGTGGAGTGTGGGTGGTGTGGGTGTAGGTGCAGGTGGTGTGGAGTGTGGGTGGTGTGGGTGTAGGTGGTGTGGAGTGTGGGTGGTGTGGGTGTAGGTGGTGTGGTGTGGAGTGTGGGTGGTGTGGGTGTAGGTGCAGGTGGTGTGGAGTGTGGGTGGTGTGGGTGTAGGTGTAGGTGGTGTGGTGTGGAGTGTGGGTGGTGTGGGTGTAGGTGTAGGTGGTGTGGAGTGTGGGTGGTGTGGGTGTAGGTGCAGGTGGTGTGGAGTGTGGGTGGTGTGGGTGTAGGTGTAGGTGGTGTGGAGTGTGGGTGGTGTGGGTGTAGGTGTAGGTGGTGTGGTGTGGAGTGTGGGTGGTGTGGGTGTAGGTGGTGTGGTGTGGAGTGTGGGTGGTGTGGGTGTAGGTGGTGTGGAGTGTGGGTGGTGTGGGTGTAGGTGTAGGTGTAGGTGGTGTGGAGTGTGGGTGGTGTGGGTGTAGGTGCAGGTGGTGTGGAGTGTGGGTGGTGTGGGTGTAGGTGTAGGTG